GGCTCAGAGAAGGGTCCCTTGCTCCCCTGAACCACCCTGGCAGCCGGAGCTCAGGGTCCCCCTGAGGTCAGGAACAGGCCCAGCCTTAGCAGGTGGACATGGGCATCTGTCAGTGTCCAGCCCGTGCTGCAGTCCCCACGGCCCCCTCAGGTATGGAGGCTGTAGAAGACAGTCCCACGCCCAGCCTGGCCACCCAGAGAGCTGTCGCCCATGGTCTGGGCCAAGGGAGGGTCCCTTAAGGGAACCAGGGCTTCATGGTCCACGTACCCTGAAAGAACAGACTCCGCCTGCGTGGACCATCGAGAGGGAGCAGGGCTGCACCCAGGGCCTCTGCTTCCCGCCTGCCCGCTGGCCCTCAGGCAAGCCCCCAGCGTGGTGCCACGTCCCCACGGTGCAGATGAGACTCCCCGGCAGAGCCACCTGTCCAAGGCCATGCAGCCAACCAGCAGCCACCAGTCCTGTTAACTGTCCCGTTGATCCCACAGCACAGGCCGGCTCCCAATGACCCTGACCTTCTCTCCTAGGACCAGGAGCTGGAGAGCCTCTCGGCCATCGAGGCAGAGCTGGAGAAGGTGGCTCACCAGCTGCAGGTGCTGCGGCGGGGCTGAGGGGCCGGCCAGCCAGGGCCCCTGGCACCCGTGGGCCTGGCTCTCTTGTCCCCTCTACAGGTCCTGCCCAGACGGCCAGGGCGCGGCTTCCGGTAGGGAGGTGGCCTCCGGCAGCCCAGGCCCGGGCCACCCTGCCGCCCCCACGCTCCTTCCCCTCCCTCCTGCCCCGCCCTGGCCTCCTGCGTGGAGTGGCCACGGCTCTCCACACAGACCCTGCTCTCTGAACACAGGCAGCTTCCTAGAAGCCCCTCCACGTGCACAGCCCCGGGCACAGCGGCAATAACTTCTGAGCTTTCGGTGAAAGCTGAAAACTCCTGACTAGAATACGTTCTGTATAAAGTTCATCTAAGGAAAAATAAAACCTGCTCTGGGCTCTTTCGTTTTTCTTTGAATTTTTTTTTTCCCTCTCAACTCCCAATGGACACACACACAGGATTTGAGCAAAGGGACAGGGGAGTTTCAGTCCGTCTGGGCCTTTCGGGGCCACTTCTTAGTTGTGGGATCTTAGGCAGGTGGCTTTGTACTCCTGGTCCTCAGTTTCCCCATCTGTAAAATGGGGAAGCTGATCCACCTTGAAGCGGTTTTGTGTGGATGAAGTGACACCTGTCACTCTGTCTTAACCACACCTGAGCTGGGCCGTGTGGAGGTGAGGCCAGGCTGGGACACAGACTCTGCTTTCTGAGCTAGTCCCTGATTACCTGTGGGGCTGGGTAGAGACCCTGAAGGCCCCAGTTGGTGCCTGCCCCAAGCCACAGGCACGGGGCTGGCTTTGGACTTCCCGACGAGAGCTTCTGAGCTGCAGGCTGCTCCTGGCTGAATCCAGACTCTGCCTGCCGTGATGGCTGGCCTGTCGTGTGCCTAGGACGGGGGCTGTCGGAAGCCCTCGTGCATGTAATAGTTCACGAGAGCACCGCGGGTCTTGTTCTGCTTCAAGAATGAGAAACCGAGGCGGAGAAGGTGAAATGCTCCGAGTCACAGGCAGGAGGGACGCCCCCGGCACTGAGCCCGGCTGTGCAGGATGATGCCATCAGGCCAGGCAGCACTGCGACTGGGCCCAGCTGGCGGGGCAGGGCCCATCATTCAGTTGTCCGTCAAACGTTCTCCTATGGCTGCGTTCTCTGCCCCCAGCGCAGGGGCAGAGAGGTGGCTTCCTAGCAGGCTCTGAGTGTGGGCTATGATCTTGGTGTGTCCTGCTCTGAGAGGCCTGGTAATTCTGGGAGATGGGCCTGGCATGAGGAGGGGACTGGCATAAACCCTGGCCAGTGGGGAAGCCCACTGCCCAGTGGGGAAAGCTGGACGGTCCACAGCCAATGCCACCCACTGGGACATATTGTCAGCAGGAGGGAGCACAAGCCCATGTCCCTCTGCTGAGGCCAACCCTGCTGGAGGCAGAGGAGGCTGGGTTCAAGCATGGTTCTACTGGACTGGCATTGGTCTTGGACAGGCATGTCACCTCTCCAGGTGGCAGTTCTGGGGCTAAGATCCCTGGTCTGTGCACCTAGGGTGAGACTCAGGCCAGTGAGGCTGATGCGCAGGAAGGACAGTGAGACCTTGCGGGATGGCGACCTTAGCAGGGGCCTGCCTGGTGCTCCCCTGCCAGGGCCAGGACGGCTGCCCACCCAAGTGAGGCTCAGAGGCATCAGTGACACCTGCGGGGACCTAGAGCCACGTTCAGAGGGCCAGCTGGGATTTTTTTCTTGGTACTGGAATTGAACCCAGGGCTGCTTCCCCCTGAGTTACACTCCTAGTCTTTTATTCTGAGACAGGGTCTAAATTGCTAAATTGCTGAGGCTGGCCTTGAACTTGGGATCCTCCTGCCTCAGTCTCCCGAGCCCCTGGGATGACAGGCGTGCAGCACTGTGCCCAGTACTAGGTGGGATTCCGTAGTTCTCTGTCGGGTCAGTCTGCACAGCATATTGGTGGCGAGAACTCGGGTTTGGGCCTTAGGCTCCAGGCATCCCCAGTCCAACTAGCCGAAGAGCTCAGCAGCTTACTGGGTCTCAGAGCCTCCATCTTGGCATCTGTAAATGGGGGTGATCCTTGCTATCTCCTTACCAGACGATGCTAAGGCCTGGAGAGGGACATGGTGAGCCAGAAAACCAGGACTACGGTGGCAGAGCTGTCTGGGGGGCTCAGGAAGCCAGGCTGCCCGCTGCTGCCAATGCCCACCCCTGGGGCACAAAGGCACCCCCTCTGCATGGCTGCGGTTCTGTGGCGTGTATCTCCTCCCATGTTGCAGCTTCCCCGCGGCAACGGCTACGGAATAGCAAACAGCACCAGCTGCATTTCTAGGCCATCAGCAATCAAGACACCCACTACCAAGATGAGCTGGTAAGGAGATAGCACAGGGTCTCCTTGTCCCCAGAATAACCCATCCCAAAGACAAGCCAGCTGAAAAGAGCCAGGAGGGAAGCATGATGTTCTCGAGAGTGACGCGCGGGCTGTGGTCTGGACGTACAGACTAAGCGCAGCCCAGGGTGGGATTCTGGTAGAGCTGCTTGTGATCAGGGTTGGTCACCCAGCACAGTGTGGGCACTACCCTGACACCCTGGGGAAAACCCAGCCTGAGCAGCTTGTCCTGAGTGACACCCTGCAGGAGGGCAGCCCCCTCAAGATGCCAGGTTTCAGATGACTTGGGCAGTAAAGAGAAAATGCAACCGTTTCTGGAAAGGCCGAGCTGGACACAACCAGAAGGAAGAGGACCCAAGCAGCAGAGGCCCCGCTGCCCAGGGAACCAGCGGCCACGTCCACGCTGGCCATGCCGTGTGGAGAGAAGCAGAGGCACAGACCCCGACTGTGAGGGGGGACCTGAGGCACGAGCCTTGGTCGCCTCACACTGGCTGGGCGGGAGTGTGTGCAGTGGGCGTGGCCAGGCTGGCCACGGAGGTGGAGACTCAGGGCTGCCCTCCAGGGGGGCTCCTGTCCGCCCCAGGGAAGCCCACGTGGAGCTGCTGGCACCCAGCTCCAGGGCTCGGAGTCCCAGGGCCAGTGCGCTGCGGCACAGACAAGGAGAGGAGCTGCTGGGGTCCCACTGGGTCCGTGATCTGTTTCCAAGGGACAGACCAGAGGGAAGACACAAAGCCCAGGACCATCAGTGAGGCGGGGTGAGGCCATGCGATGGCTCTCTGTGGCCAGCAGCCAGCAAGAATGCCCAAGAGCCAACGATGTCTTCCAGGCTGAAGACTCAGGCTCCCTTGGTCTCAGAGTGGCCGTCTAGCCAGCACCAGTCACTCTGCAGTCGGCCAGAAGGGCTGTCAGTCAGCCTGCTGTGAAGCCCACTTGGTGGCCTCTGAGGACCCCTTCCTCTAGGTCATTTTCTCCTTTGTTGCTAGGGTTACAGGCATGGGCAGGCCCGTGCCAGATGCCCCAGAGTCCCTTGAGGGTTCAGGGGCATCTGACTGCCACAAATGGCGCTGGGGACCCCAAGTCAGCCCCACCCACCACGCACTGCAAAGCCACACTTGCAGGACACCAGGGATGACGACCCTAGTCTAAGACAGACGCCCTCTGCTCCTCCAGTGGGGACAGACACCAGAGCTGGCATTTGGGCGTCATGTGTATGCAGACACGCTGCCCTGGGAAGTGTCCTCAGGCAGAGATGGAGGCCATGCCTCTGGGCCCAGGACAGAGCAGGCCGTGCAGGTGACTCCAAGGCTCAGCTATGTGTGGTCCTGTCACCTGCTCCGCTGCCCCTCAGCAGCCCAGTCCCCTGAACACCAGCAAGATGGGAAGCCCCGGGGCTGACGTGCCAGCCAACTCGGAAACAGAAGCTTGGGTATGAGCCCGGCCGCCCCAGGCTGCTGGCAGGGCTGGTCTCTGCCTAGCGGGGTCCTCCTGTGGGGCCAGCTCTTACCATCCCAGGGGACAGCCTGCCACCACCCACCTCCTCAGTGGGCCTGTCTCCCCAACACCCAGCCCCAAGGCCAAGGCCAGCAAGGCCTCAGGGGAACCAAGTGGGGACAGCACCCTGGGACCAACAAGGTCAGTGTGCACATGGGGCATTTAGAGGACAGGGTCTCTTGCCTGGCTACTGAGGCCCCCCAAGGGGTGGCTGGCGTCCCCTCACCACCCATAGTGCCCACCCATGCTCCACGTTGCCAATGGCTTCCACCAGCCTGAGGTTGCTCCTGTACAGTCCCTAGGCCTTCGCAACACCCAGCTCCATGGGGGGAACCAACTGCCCCACTCACCACTGCGTGGAGGCCAGAGGAGGGCCATAGCGCCAGAAGGCAGTTCCCTGACAGCCAGCCCTGGACGCTACCCACGTGACCTGGACTGATCAGAGGGACAGACATGCAGGTCGTCGGGGTCCTCCAGGCAGCGGGGGCTGGGACTCTGCCTCAGGAGGCCACACTGTGGGAGGTGACAGAACAGGAGTCACACCCAGAGACATGTGGGAAATGCAGGTTGATCTCAGTAGTTTATTTTGAAGACAAAGCAGTGCAAGAGGCTGCCATGCGTCCCGTGTCCCGGGCTCGGGGTCAGGCCCAGGACAGGTGACGAGCAGACATCCACCAGGGTCAACGCTCAGATCCTGTAAACGTGGCCAGTCCTGGGCCATTCTGAGGAGGCCAGGCAGCTCCATGGCTCAGGTCCTGGCAGCTGCCCAAAGGAGGGTCCCCGCCCTGAGTGCCGGGCTCAGCGGCTCTCCAGGGCCCTTGGCGCTCCCTCCAGTGTCCTCCGTCCCACTGGACCATGCGGGACAGCTCAGTGGCCCTTCTCTTCCCAAGTGAACTGCACTTCATGACACGAGATCATGCCGGGCCCAGGCCCCTCACTGGGCTGCACCCTCGGCGGCCCCTCCTGCGGACTGGGTCAGCCAGTGGTGGCCTGCTGCTGTGGCGAGAGGGTCTGGGGCGGTGTGGCTGTCTTGCAGGCTGGCTTAGTGCCCACTGTGTGCAGGAGTGAACCGCAGGGCAGCCTCCTCCTGCCCAGGAAGAGGGACCCCGCTGGCCAGGATTCCCAGCAGAGGCTCCTGCCCGTCCTCTGGGGTGCTGGGGGAGCAGCAGGCGCCAAGGGGGCAGGACACCGAGCACCAGCTGACCTGCCCTGCCCTGGACCTGACTGCCCTCTGGAGAGAAGGGATCTAGGAGGAGACTGAGGGAGTGGTCCTGGGCAAGCCAGCAGCCCCCCTGGGTCCAGGGAACAGCAGTGCTAGGTGGGACCCTGGGAGGGACCTGGTGGCCCCCAGGGAGCAGTGAGGAGTGGCAGCGACCAAGGACATGGGCCTTAGCCCACTGGAAACTTCCTCTTCTCCCGTGGGCAGGGGTCGGGGCCGCACACAGCTCCCCGCCAGGGCCTGTCGTCCTTTGGCTTTGGGGAGGGGCCAGCAGCAGCCCTGAGGGGGTCGGCTTGGAAGGGCCAAGGTGGACAGGGAGGGTCGGGTCAGGGGCGTGGGTGGACTTGGAAGGAGGAGAACCATTCTCGGCGCTCTGCTGGGCCACAGCCCAGGAGCGGGCCTCCCTCCAGGGTCCCAGAGCCTGGTCCACAGCAGCCGTGGGGACAGACAGACGGATGTGCACACGCTCCTAGCACCACCCACGCACGCACACACCCCCACATTCAGACCTAGTGTTGAAACTCAGCCGTGTCAACTCCGACGAGATCCGCAGGCGGGAAGCGGGGTCCCCATCCCCGAGGCTGTTCCCTTCCATCTCCCCCCTCATTTAGACCATGACATCAGAAAATCAGGTTAAAAATTAAAAAAAGCATCAGATCATCGGGAATTCTGAGTAGCGTCCGTTGGGGGCCGATGCCCAGTGGCGTGCTCCGCCACCCTCTGGGTCCTGGCTCTGTGGCTACTGCGAGGAGGCCTTGGTGGTCAGGGAGGCCACGCAGTGCTGCTGGAAGCTGGGGGACACGCCCGCGGTGCAGCCCAGTCTCTGGTGCGGCAGCTTGGCAGCGCTGCCCGCGCCCGCCTCGGCCTCGGTCTTCCAGGGCGCGTCCTGGCCCAGCACGCAGCAGCCCGGGCTGGCGCTGCACGTCCACTCGCCTGCCAGGCTGCCCGCCTGCTCGGCCAGGAGCCTGCTGTGTCTCAGCGGGGCCGCGTCCCCCGCGGCGGCTGCACCCGTGCTCTGGCCCTGCAGGACGGTGGCGATGTGGTTCAGGAGGTCTGAGAAGAACTCGCTCACGCCCTCGTAGCCTGGGGTGGAGACAGACAGCGCAGGTCAGCCAGCGGGCTGGGGAGCGGAGACAGGCCGACCAGCAGCCAGGTCACTCCCGTGGGGCCAGGGGCTGGCCCTGACCCTGAGAAGCAGTGAGCCACTGTGAAGTGGTGAGCACCTGTCCACCCACTGCCATGGTGTGGATAAGGGTCCCCTGAGGGCCCGCATGCTGGAGGTGGGGGACCTGAGGGGTGGCACCTAGTGGGAGGTCTCTGGTCATGGGGGACCTGGAAAGGGGTACAGGGACCTGGCACCCTCCCCCTCCCGCCTCCCACACACTAGGAGAATGCGCTTCCTTTGCCTTGTGACCTCCACCCCATGATATGCTGCTCTGCCACAGGCCCCAGAGCCACAGGGCCACAGAGCAGACTGAAACCTCCCAACTGTGAGTGCAAACCACCTTTCCTCTTTGTGATACTGGGACCGAACCCAGGGGCACTCCACCACCAAGCTACATTCCTAGCCTTTTGAATATTTTGAGACAGGGATGCCCACAGTAGAAACAAAAATGGCGCAGCTGGCCTGGAACTTGCGATGGTCCCGCCTCAGTCTCTCAAGTTGTGGGGTACAGGTATGAGACATCATGCCCAATAACCTTCCTTCTTTTTAGCTTTATTATCTCAGGTATTTTGTTACAGTAATGGGAAGATGGTGAACACACCCACCTGAGGGGGTGAGATAATGGCTGGAGGTGGCAGCACCAAAGCCCACTTTGAATGATACACAGACTCCATGGGGTCTGCCTGAACCTGGCCTCAGGCCTGATTCCTGGCTCCTGCATCTGTCCTGAGCCTCAGCTGTCCACTGAAGAGGATACATCTTGTGGTAGAGGCTTCTATGGGCATCAACCAGAGGGGCTAGAACACCGGTGCTGTCTGACCCAGAGCAGCCACAGCCCAAATCCAGTGTTCCTTTTTCACCCTAAAACACAGGAGGAGGCCCTCGGTGCCCCCTGCACTCAGAGACAGCCTCCAGGCTCTGCCCACCAGGCCACATGAACTGCCAGTGTCTGCCTGGGGCGGCACCTCCCAACGCAGATGTGAAGCAAAGTCCTTGGGATCCTCAGATTTAGGTGGGGCCTGCCAGGGCGGGTCTGGAAGGACGAGAACTGGCCCGCGGCTCCAGGAAGACAGCAGGGCAGGAGAGGTCTTGGGCAGGAGTTGCAGCCCAGCAGCTCGGGGGGCTCTGGGTACTGCCCGCCCCGCTGAAGCTGGACCACCCTGGATACTGCACCCCGTGCCGAGAGGTCACTGAACACCCTCACATGCCCTGGTTGACATTCCCAGCCACTCGCACAGACGGGTGGCAAAGCCTGGGACACGGCCCTGTGTAGCCTCAGAACACTGCACGGCCGTGTGCGGGGCCACCAGCTGGGGCTCCTCTGTGTCCACTCATCACTCAGCAGCTGACTGATGTGCTGCAGAGAGAGGCCCACGGCAGAAACAGAAAGGGCCATGTGGCCGGAGCGCAGTGCCTCCATGTCCAGCACTGGGTGACATCACCCTCACAGACCCGCCCACTTTACGGATGAAAACGTGGGACTGTTAACCAGAGAGGATGGTGACGAATCCACGCCAGTGTCCACAGGCCACGCGGGCGGTGCCGGCCACAGGACTGGGATCCCGTCCCCTGGTTGCTGCCTCCTCGCAGCCCCTTTACAGAGGAGGACGTGGAGGCTCAGAGGCCCAGCGTCACAAGCTCCTAAGTGGCACAGCCGAGATCGGATCAAGGCCACTGACCTGTCGGTGTCTTAGAACAGCCTGGTGCTGGGCGCCCCGGACTGGGTGCCCCGTCAGCCTGCGGCCAGGGGTGAAGGGTGACAGACCCGGGTCTGAGGCGCCCAGGATTGTGGGGGTGGCTGCTGGGAGCCGGGGTAGGCGTGTGAGCAGGAAGGACACGGGGGACACTTGGGCAGGTCTCCAGGGAATCCAGAGGCAGTTCCTCAGCAATTGCTCTGCTTTCATCCCAGACCAGGCCCAGCGCCACACGCAGAGCTGGGGCTGGGGGATGTGCAGAGGCCGCTGCCTCCTCGAGGCCTGGGAGGAGCAGGAGACGGGGTGGGCTGACACCAGCAGGTGCAGACAGGGGGGACGCAGACAGGGGGGACCAGGACAGGAGCCAGCTCCACATGGTCCTGGGCACACTGCAGGGTGGGAGATGCTGTTCCCACCTGCGCAGGGGTGGATGGGGCCAAGGTCAGGTGGCCAAGCCGTCGTGGACTGTGAAGGCAGAGCCTGGACTTGAACTCAGCACCGGGCTCTGCCAAGAGGCAGCCAATCTCATGGTCAGAGTGCAGCCCTAGCTCCACCACGTAGGGACCCGTGGCCTCGGACAGGCCCCTCAGTGCCTGACCTCGTCCTCTTGGCAAGTGGTGATCACAGCAGTCCTCCAGGGTGCAGTGGGGAGGGGGAGACTGGCTGCTGCCTGTCTCTACACAGGCCTGGGACACAGAGGGGTCAACACCACCGGGCAGTGGGTGGCCTCTCTGACAGGGCTGCTACTACACCTGAGGCCCTGAGCTCGCCCACCCCCCTGCTGTCCCCAGGAGTGCTCTACAGGGCTGGCAAGCAGAGCCGGCTCCCTGGAGCCCCGGTCTCTGGGGCCACCTCGGCAGCAGACTCCTCACCAGCCTCTGCTGGGCGCAGCCACGACCCTCCTGCCCTCCTGCCCTAGGAGGATGGCCCTTCTCTCGACTCCTGGAAAAAGCCTCCCTGTCCACACTGGCTCAGTGACTGTTCCCTGACAGACTGCCCTGGGCCCACGACACGGTGGGCTCACAGGGAAGCCTCCCACTCTTCCTCCTAGAACTTCCACGTGTGGCCCCCCAGTCCATGGTCCAGAGTCCCCCCCGACCACCCTGCAGCCCTGCCTCGCCCCTTCATTCCTCACGTCCTTCTGCTGCACCCCCGGTCCCCAGCTCTCTCCCTCCGGCTTCAGTTGCCTCAAGACTCCACCCAGGGGGACTGAGGCAGACTGAATGACGTGGGCTTAACACGGACCTTAGACACTGCCCCCAAAGTGAGACCACGCCGCGGCAGGCTGCCCTCAGAGACGGGGCCCACAGCCCGGGACCACTGCTCCATCTCTGGTGGGTGGCTCTTTCCTTTCTGGCCAGGATTTGCTCTGGTGTCACAGCTTCACAGAAGAGCCACCAGCCACCCCCACCCTTCTGTCTCTTGCTCCCTCCCAATTATGGTGTGGGCCTCCGGCTGGGACCTGGCAGTCCAGCTCACTTCTGTACTGGCGTCAGGACTAGCTGGGACCCACAGCACCTGGTCAGTGACAGCTGGAGGACAAAAGGAGCCAGTGGCTTCCCAAGCCTCCATTTCCCTAGCTGGGCACAGGGGTGCTGCCTGGAGCAGCTTGTGCGTGCCCAGGAGTGGAAGAGGCACGGCCTCCTCAGCCACCTAGCTGGTGCCCGGCACCCGCAGCTCCAGAGCTGGGAGGCGCAGGCCAAGGAGATGAGCCAAGGGCGGTGGTTCCCCCTCCCGCGAGGCGCTTGAAGAGACACCATTGAGAACAGAGTGGACGGTGGGGCGCACGGCCCAGGCCTGCAGCCCTGGCCCTCGGGAGGCAGAGGCAGGCCAGCCTGAGCCCAGGAGCCCGGGAGCCCGGGCGCGGGTGAGCAAGTGGCCTGCTGCGGGGACAGGTGGGACCTGGTTGGACTCCACCTGTCACTCTGTGGGCGGTGCACAGGTCACATGGCTGGGGGCTGGGTGCAGCACGGTCCTGAAGCACCTGCCCTGCCACCAATGTGCTGTGTGACCCTCTAGTCCACTCTCACCAACGTGCTGTGTGACCCTCTAGTCCACCCTGCCACCAACGTGCGGTGTGACCCTCTAGTCCATGGCTTCCCTTCACCTAACAGCAGAGGTTGTGGCCCTTCAAAGTCCCTTCGGCTGTGAGTCTGGAATGGCTCAAGGGACGGACTGATTGGGACATCGAGGCTATGCTGGCGGCTCAGGTCACAAGGTGAGAGGGCGCGTGGACCCGGCCGCCTGGGCCCGGTCCTCCCTGGTGCAGGATGCCCAGTACTGGGCTCCTTCATCCCCTCCCGCTCCAGAGCCCGTTCCCAGGTGTGCAGAGGTGGCAGACTGATGGCTGCCACCTCAGGCCACCAGCCGTGCTGCTCACCTGGGAAAGCGTTGATGTCGATGACTGCGTGCTGCCCCGTCTGGTTGTTGATGATGATGTCAATCCCAAACAGTGACACACCCAGCGCCTGCCGCAGGGCCCGGGACAGCTCCCGGATGACCTCGTCGCTCGGCCGCTCGAACACACCTTCGATCTTGTCCAGCTGCGACACACACAGGGGTTAGGCTGGGGTGAGGAGTGCCACAGGCCCTGCCATCCCTCGGGCCAGGAAGCAGGGCAGACCCACCCCAGCCAGCACCAGGCCACCACCTCTGTGTCCTGCCCGAGCTGGGCAGGTGGGGTGCTGCTCACGGCCTTGCTGGCTGCCATCTGAGGGACCGAGGTCAACAATGGCATCTTACACACAGGCAACGGGCTCAGAGGGGGTCGGGCTGGCCTGTGAAAGCACAGGGCAGGGTCTGGGCCTCGGTGTCCCCAGGCTCTAGACCCATTTCTCAGCAGGGAGGAAGGTGGTGGAGAGTCGCTATGGACCGAGGAGACAGCGAGGTGCAGAGGTCACTGCAGCCTGACCTTGAAGGCAGGGAGGACGGGGCAGGGGTGGGGTGGGGTGGGGGAGAGAGGCCTGGGGAGGCCAGCGGCCAGGGCGGAGGTGGCGGGAAGTCCTCCGCGCCCTCCGGCCTGAGGCTGAGGTTCGGGACGGGTCTTGGTCCCTGAAGGGCTCCAGGCGGGTGATCTTGGATTTCCAACCCCCCTTTCCTTCCCGAGGGGCGCTCAGGGCTGCTCCCACCTTGGGTCCAAGTGCAGCGGTCAGCAAAGCTTCTGGGGGGTAATGGGGCTGTCCGGGTGCACAGTCTCCACCCTGCCCTGGACCGCCCCGCACTGCCCATTCTCTCCTCTACTCCAAGTGGCCTGGGACAGGCACGAGGACCCACGTGCTTGAGCTCAGCCCAGTGGGAGCCTCCAGGGCATGAGAAGACTGCACCAGAGGCTTTGGGAGCCAGGACTGGGACCCAGGGTCTGGATGTGAATCCTGCAGTGACTTGCTGACTCTGGGGACTTGGAGAAAAGTTGGTGGCCTCTCTGCCTCAGTTTACTCTGCTGTAAAATGGGACTGATTGAGCCTCCATCCTAGACTTGCTGAGAGGGAGGAGGAGGGTGACAGGTGTGGAGGCCATGGGCCTGGATGGCCAGAAGCGCTGCTTCTGAATTCCAGGGCAGGGACAGCCTCGGGTGACCTCAGCCTGAACAGGGCTCAGCTGGGTGCCTATGAAACACCGGAGTTCTGGAGCTGAAGCTCAGAGGCTAGAGGAAGGGGTGCGGCTGCAAATACGGCACGTCAGAGAGCCAACCGGGAATTACAGGTGGCCCCGCAGGCCCCGTCCTGGGGTCCCACCCAGGGCTGCCTCGCAGTCCTGCGTCCACACAGCCTCACTCCCCCACCTTCGAGGTGGAAGCCACCCACCCCACCAGCATCGGCAGGGCAGGGGGTAAACAAGCCACAGGGTAAGTGCCATGAAGTGCCGTTCATCTGTGGGAAGGGATAAAATCCGACTCGCTACAACACAGATGAACTCGGAAGACATCACGAGTGCGCGTGCTGGGCGGCCACAGACAGCTTCGTGCTGTAGGACTCCATCCGTATAAAACTTCCGGAAGGCGCAAATTTGTGGAGACAGGAATCAGAGAAGCAGTGGAGGAATGGGGAGTGGGGGGCTCATAGTCCAGGGGACGGGAATGTTCTGGAAGGAAGCAGAGGTGTGGTGTGGTGTGCCTCAACGTGAGCAGACCAGTCGCGCTGGATTTCTCACTTTAAAACAGCTAATTTTATCCATGCGGATTTCACCTCAATTTGTTTAAATGCGAGGCTGGGTCAGAGGATTGAGCATTGAGCCCTGGTCATCAAGACAAATGGTCTTTGGCCCTGAAATGGACAGCATGCCCTCCCGGAGAGCACCAAGCAGGGACTGAGGCTGGCACCTTCCTATCCTAGGAGTGCCCTGGTGTCTCCCTGGGGGCTTCCCAGGGACAGTGGCAGTCTGGCTGAACAGGAGCTCACCTGAGCTCCCTGGGACACTCAGGGTCAGAGGCTGAGTCCAAAGAGGAGCTTGGCAGTTGGTCCACAGCCCAGCATCCTCACCAAGTCAGAGGTCCAGGTGGACCCCAGGCTTGCCCATGCCCTGGGCCTGCCCTAGCTGTAGCGAACCTCTGGACCCCGTTTCCTCACCCCGGAAGTGGGTAATGAGAATGCCTCTGCCCTGAGATTTCAGTGAGGACTCGGGGCTGACACAGAGGCGGGCCCAGGGCAGACAGCTCCTCTCACCCCGCGTCTCCTGATGAGCTGTTTCTAAAAGCACTTTCCCAGCTCAGCTGAGGAATCTCACAAGTCCTTCTGAAGCCATTTGATTGTCCAGACCCAAACAGCCAGCCTGGGACAAGACAAGGGTGGAACTCCTCCCCGGGAATTCAACACCAACCACCCAAGGTACCCTGCTAACCAGGAGGTGGGGAGTCAGGAAGGAGCTCTGTGGGTGCCCTGGGGCCACCGCTCATGGCCAACACTGAGAACTTCCTGCACACGGGCAGTGGGCACCGCTCAGACAGCAACTCACAGAACCCCTGGATTTCCTCTGGGCAGGATGAGGAGTCTGAGGCTCAAAGGGATGACATGGCTTGCCAGAGCTTGGGACCGACCGGGGCTATTTTTCCCAGAAAAGCAAATTTTTTTTTTTTAACCTCCCGAGGTGCTGGGGCTGGGACTTCGGGCCTTGTGCATGCTGGGCAAGTGCCCTACCACTGAGCTGTGCCCTCGGAGGCCCACTGCTCCTAAGGACATCCTATGAGGGCTCCGAAAGGTAGAAGGCCCCTGGGGCCTGTAGGTTGAGTGGAGCTACCCAGGTCAAGGGCCTCCTGGGGAAGGAGGTGGGGCTCCAAGGCCAGTGTGGGTCCCTGCAGGGTGCTCTCAGGGGGGCTGAGACAGGGCTGGCAGAGCTCCACGTGGCACAGGGCAGGAGGACTGGTAAGGGAGTATTCTGGACACCAGTTCCCATGGTGGAGCTGACATAGACGGCCTGAGGGAGGCCATGGCGGCCACGGTCCTGCAGGAAGGCCACGTGGCTGGCATTGCTTCTTCTTTTCTTGGAAGCATTAGTCCTGACGGATTCCTGACTAGCAGTCACATGTGAAGGCCGGGGGGGGCCACTGTAGGTCTGAGAGGCAGAGGAAGGGCCCTGCTGTGACTCTAGGCTGACCCCTCCTATTTCTTAGATGAGGAAACTGAGGCCCACAGTCAACAGGGGTTTATCCAAGAGGGTGACTCCCAGTGGGCCACCCTGCATGCAGCCCTCAGTGTCCCCCTGGTACTGGTGAATAGCCCAGTGGGCGCTAGCCCTGTGCTGTGCGAAGGCACTGGCAGGGATGATTTCTCAGAAAGTCTGTGCCGTGCCAATTCCTCTGCAGCCCAGCACACTGGCCAAGGCTCCGTGAGGAAGCCCTGGAGATGCTGGAGCAAGCCGAGCCTCCCTGCACAGAGCATCTACCTACGCCTCACAGAGACACAGCCAGGCCCGGCGCTTCTCTTGATTGCTCCTGGGGGATAGCTACTGAGGTCCTGGGGACAGTGGTGTCCCTCTAGGTCCTTGTTCACACCAGAAACAAACAACAGCTAGACAGGCTGCCCAGGTTTGGGGGCTAGGAACACAAGGCCAGGGCAGATCCCCAGGGTTGGCTGTGCCCAGCCCTGAAGAGGGAGGAGGCCACGAGAAAGCAAAGGCTCCCAGGATACCAAGATGGACGCACTCTAGGGGGGACAGGACCCCAGCAAGTCCTGAGTGCAGGGGACATGAGAGCAAAACTGCTGGCCCGCTAGGCCCACGAGGGACGGCAGACTGCCCGTGGAGGCTCCCGTCTGCTGTGGAACACTGCCCAGCAGTCCTTAGAGTGGTAGGTCGCCCTGGCTTCCTGGGAGAGCCAGCTTTGGAAGTGGGCCTGGGGTCCAATCCCAGCGAGGCTGCAGGGAGGCTGCTAGACACCCAGCTGGACACTGCCATGGCGACGTTCACTGAGCACCAGCCATGATGCCTGCTGCCACGGCTTCAGGGGTGGGGGTCACACACCACCCTAGTGCTGCAGAAGCACACAGCAGGCTGTCAAGGGACACTCACGAACAGAGCGAGGGACAGCAGGGAGCAAGCCTCTCTGAGCTCGTGGGGGCTGCCTGCAGCCCTCCCGCCCTGGCCCCCACATGCTCATCACAATGTGTGCACAGCTGTGATGCCACCAGCACGCGGGCTAGAAGACAGCAGGGCAGGAGGGGCTGGGGAACAGGCCTGGGCCTGGCATGTGGACAAGGGCCTCCCATGATGCCCAGCCCTGGGCGAAGGCAGCCTCGTGCCAGGCCACCAAGGAGGTGGTACATACCTCCGTGAGAACAGATGAGGACTCCGGCTTCGACACATTGTGGCTGTTGAAGAAGATGGACTCTCGGTCTGAAAAAGCAGACAGGAGTATGGGTCAGGGCCTCCAGGCCGGGGTGTGGTTCCGCCACCCGACACCAGAGGGCAGCACCACCTCAGCCACACGCCAGGGCGCCTTGGCTCCAGGTCCAACAGTAGGGACAGGCGCTCCAGGGAGCTGGCTCCCCACCCCATGGAGCTGTACCAGGGATGGACTTGGCCCAGTTAGGGCCTCAATTTCATTTCCCACACAAAAATGACGATTTGCTGAGCCACCTCCACGACTATCTCGTGATATCCCACCTGGGCTTCCCCAACGCCTAAGGTCCATCCTGAAAGATGCTGCAGATATGTCACCAAAAGGGTGCCAAGAGGAAAGGGGGCTAAGTAGGCAGGACAAGCCATGCACCTGATGTCGAAGGCCCCTCCCACCCATGGAACTCCTACGGAGACCCGGCCAGGCTGCCCCCGCCATGTGAGAGCTTAAAATAAAGGTTCTGCTGTTTTCCAACTCTTTAGGACAAAAACAGAAAACCAGAACATGGGCTTCCACGGTGCCCATCCAAGAAGCTACTCAGAATGACCTGCTCACCATGACACCCCCTCCACCGCATCCAGCTCGCGAGTCCCTGCGTGTGCACCGCCATCGCACCCACCCCCAACTCCCACAAAGGCCCAGCAGCAGACCAGTCTCGGGGACACTGAGCACGACAGGCTGACGGTGCAATCGTTCACCCCACTTGTAAATGTCCTCTGGAGTAACCAAGGTCACCCCGAGGAGCTGCAAGGTCGGCTGGTCAGCCAGAAACACGTTCTCAGGCACTTGGAAGCACAGGCACGTCAAGGCAAGAATCACAAAGCCAGGAGCCCAGGTCTGGGTCTGGCAGAGCTGTCACCACCTTGTTGCCTCCCCCACCCCCAGAACAGCCAGGACCCCCTGGCTAGGAGTCCCCAAGGGGCCTAGCCCTGCTTGAGTCCTTCCAGGGTGGGGCATCATGGGTCCCGTTCCCCAGGACACAATGCCGGGCCTGGGACCCAGGCCCCCAAGCTGCAGGAAAAGAAGGGACCAGCTGAGGGCCTGCGTGCCAGGGTGGGGGGCCTGCCCTGCTGCCGCGACCCCACCAGCTCCGGGACTCTGCGGCGCCACAGCGATCATGCAGAGGAAGTGATTGGGGCAGAGCCAAGCAGGCAGGCGCTGAGAGGTACCTGGCATCCTTCCCGCTAGCGGGGCATAGAGGCCCCTGGCCACCCTGGTGTGCCCGACAGTCCTCCCGCTGCTCCGACCAGAGCCAGTCCAGACAGGGGGCACGAGAGACGGTCCTGGGGAGGAGCCTGAGGAAAATAAACACCCTGCGGGACTCTGCCACGCAGTCCCACCAATCCTCTCCCGGCACCAGGGAGCCTTCGAGGTGGCAAAGCCCAGAGAGCCAGAGGCTGGAGCAGGTGCCAGCCGTCCATGCCAGTGGTCTGGCCTCCTGGAGGCACTGCCCATCTCCTCATCCTACAGCCCCCAAACTCAGAGCACCTTCCCACCTGTACCCCTGCAGGTCCCCAAGGAAAATGAACAGGGTGGCAGAGCAGGCCGTGGAGGGAGAAAGGGCCACCATGCACAGGTGGACACAGCAAAGTCCAGGGAAGCTGGGAAGCTGCAAGGAGAACGGAGGGAAGGGGACAGAGCTGCCCCAGGGGCCTGCCATGCCCATGGAACTGGACAAACTGTGACCCACAATGGCTCCCTGGGGCAAGACCAAACGCACAGGATCTCCAAGGGGGACCCTATGCTGCTACTTCCGGCCTGCGGTGCTCTGGCCAGAGGACTACTGGGCAGGGTGGCCAGCAATGACAGGTCCAGCAGCTCTCCACATGTAGCCGGACAGGGCAGAGGGAGGGAAGGAGGGAGGGAGAGCAGCTTCCAGCCACTGCCTGTCACCAAGAGACTATGGGAACCTGCGGGGAGCTCGGGTGGGTCAGAGGAGCCTGAGCCCAGGACAGAGCCCTGGCACCCAGATCCTTGTCCCCTCTGTTAGGGGGACAAGGTCAGGGCCTTGCTGCCAGAAGCACTTTGAGTGTAGACGCCCCTGCCAGTCCCTGTTCGCGGATGAGTCCTAAGGACACACAGCCTGGGTGAAGGGCCACCTCGGCTCCCCACAGGATCGGCAGGGCAAGGACGCCAAGACTGTTTTTGTTCTCAACTTACAGATGGAAAAGAGGAAGAGTAAATGAGCAGAGAAGCTCCCAGACCCCGGCACTGTGGCGGGGCAGCCCTGAGCTTCAGCCACAATCTGCTGCTCCTCTGCTGTTTACTGTCGCTCCCAGGAGGTGCATGCCACGACGCTGTGGGTGGCAACCCAAGTCAACTTCCAGCTGCCACTAAATGCCACCTCTGCAAAGGTGCCGGCATCTGCTGTGCCTTTTCCAAGTTACTCCCCTCACTGGAAGGTGTCCAGAACCGCGATGTCTTCCCTGGAGCCCCCATCTCGGGGCAACTGGCTCTGGTCTCTCTCCCCCCCACTGGAATAACTAGTCACGAAGGCAGGAAGTCTGGCTGGCTAGCCCCTGGCTGGACCCCCTTGGCAGGCTCAGTGAACGCAGCACCTCACTGCCTCTTCAGAGGCTTGGAGTGGAGGCCAGGCCGCCTGCATCTGTACCTGAAGCTTCCCTGGGCACAGCCCCGCCCACTCATTTACATATCTCTAGGCTGCTCCCATCCAGCAACAGCAGCTTTTAGTAATGGGGACAGCACTGGAGCCATCTACCCTGTGGACTCTGGTAGATCCAGCTCTACATGGTAGGAGGTACCACTCTTCTTCCCTAAGGGAAAAAGGCCCAGGATGGAGAGTGTAATAGGCCCCTGCACAGGGCTGGGACCCCTGGCCCTGCGTCCTCAGGTCAAGGAAGCCCCACTGCACAGAGAGAGGGAACAAAGAGAGCCGTCCCTCTGCCCCAGCGTGGTAAAGAGAGCACGTGAACCTCAGGCAAGGAACACAGCGCATTCCTCGTGTTCTTGGTGGCCAATGTCACACCTCTCCATAAGAGCTTACCCTGGTTCCAGTCAAGGTGTCTGCGGGATGCCATTGCTATTAAGTACACACCTGATTTTGGAGATGTTGACATGTGAAAAAATGTTCCTGGGAGGGCTGGGGTGGGGCTCAGCGGGAGAGCACTTGCTCACCCATGTGAGGCACTGGGTTCCATCCTCAGCACAACAATAAATAAACAAAGTAAAGGTATTTGTCCACCTAAAACTAAAAAATAAATATTTAAAAAAAAGTGTTCCTGAGAATCAAAAGCAAATGGCAGCTGAGAGACAAGTCCTTGTCTCTACTCCCCCCAGGTCAAGAGCAGCCCTGAGCAAGGAGCCCAGCTCCCAGCCTGGACACAGGAAGTGTGGGATCCGCCACCCTGGGCGGTGGGAGCCACAGTCTAGGTGGGTGCTGGAAAGTGGCCAGAGCCCCCCAGCCCCGTTTAACCAGTGCATCATACAGAGCTGCCGTCATGAGGCCTTACAGCCCCCAAGAGGCCTGAATGTGAGCGCCGGGCCCCCTGCCACGTCCCATTCACCGCAAGACAGTGGTAGAATCGGAGAGTCACTGGAAGTCACTCGGTTGTCCTGTGTGTCTTTACTGTTTGGCCCGGGTCTGAGACACAGCCACGAGGAGGGACATGTGGAGAGGAGGGCTCCCCACGCACTGAGAAGGGAACTGGGCCACCATTTTACAACCAGGAAGGAAGAGCACACAAACACACTTTTGTGTGGATGAGAAAGGAGATCTGGCAGTAAATTTATCTTAGAAATGAAGTGATTTGGGTAAAAAAGGCAAGAGAGACATAGAGAGCTTTTTAGTGTGTGGTTCTGAAATGACCCGGGGCCACATGCATGCTAACAAGTACCCTCCCACTGAGCTATGGTCCCGGCCCTAACTATTCTTAATTTAATAGTTACACATTCTTCATAAAGTGTATTTTTTAAAATCAGGAAAATAATAAAAACATTGTGTGAAATGTCAGCCTCTTCAGGCCACACATGGAAGAATGTCCCCTAGTGGACGCATCCACTGACCCAACCCACACTATCCCCTCGCCCCAGGGCGGTGCTGGACCGGGTCAGAAGGGGCTGTCCTGACCCTGGCTCAGAAGACTGCTGAGACTCAGCAGAGAGAGGAAGACACTGCTCCATTGTCCACTCAGTCAAGGAAAGGGAAAGAAAGTGACCCAGGGGAAGAAGAGCTGGAGGGGACGACGGGTAGCTGCTCCAGGCCAGCAGGCAGGTGACAGGCAGCCAGGCGGGTCCTCAGGAGGCCCGGGCAGGCCAACGCCCTACCTGAGGGCATCTCCCTTGAGAGAGAAATGTGCAGTGCGCTTGAGCAAGCTGCACGGGGCAGGCACGGGCCTCCCAGGAGCCCTCTGGAAGGCTCCACTTACTCTGAGGCATTGCTATAACACCCAAGATTTCTGGAACTCGCCTTAGAGTGGCCTCAGGACCCACAGAACATTCCTTACAGCAGCCCCACAGCCCCATCCCTTTTCATGGTTGGTGCCAGGCCTGGAAGGAGGTAAGGGCTGAGGGAAGCTTCAGTGGGGTCTTGAGGCTGTTCCTAGAGGACCACCTCTAGGGCCCTGAAGGACAGCATCAGCATGTGACATCACTGCCCAGGGACACTGAGGACCCCCCTCCATGGTTCAGAGCACGCTGGCTGACCAGGTGTGCACACGTGCAGCCCTGCACTAGGTAGGGGGGGTGACTGCCCCGGGACCTGAAGTCCCGCGTCGGGATCCTCAGTATGGCAGGTGCTGCCGGCTCCAGAGCACTGGTGCCCCCGGTGGCTGCAGAAACAGCTGGTGCTGGGGTAGTGGAGACAAGAGGCAGGGAGGTGGGGGACCAGCCGGCTTCCCGAGTGGCTGCAGAGTTGGCTGACCGTGCCCGCCCCGCACCTCCCTCCCCGTCTCATCACCGTGGGTCCTGGGAACTGTCTGGGGCACAGGCAGCTTCCAGGGGCCTTCTGGGGCTGATGGTGGTTCGAGGGTCTCCCAGCAGCCTGCTGGGACAGGGTGCTCCAAGACCTCTTTATCCATCTGCTGCACCAACTCAGCCTCAGGGCATCTCTCCAGCCTCCAGAAGTCGCACGAGCGGCAGGGGAAGTGGGAGGACAGACAGTTGTGCTCGTCCCAGTGTGAGAGGCAGTTACCTGATGTGCCCGCAGAGAAGTTCTTGAGCGAGGGTCTCTGGACCACCGTGTAGGACTCGCCCACCACGAACACCTTGTAGAGCACGGCGTTGTGGTTGATGAAGTTCTGGACCACACAGGGTGGCTGGATGGCACTCAGGCCCTCCTGGTTGAACACGATGGCCATCTGGGGAGACAGGGGACACGGGCTGCGTCAGAGCCCACCACCCTCCTGCCTTCAACACAACAGCACATTACCAGCAGCGTTCCCTATCCTGAGCCAGGGACACGTGTGAGTGGAGACGGCTGCGAGAAGAACGCCTGCGTCAGTCACCTCTGCTACGGGAGTCGGAGTCCGGCACGCACGGGGCCGCCAGGTAGGGGTGAATAGCTGGTGCACTGCACAACTCCTGAGAGCATTCCTCACAGTGCCAGGGAGTGGGGCCCCTAGGTCTTATGCTACTCAACCCTTCTGACATCTGGGGGCTCTTCCACAAAGATCCAGGATGGGGAGGCGGGATACTAGGCTGTGAATATGAACCTGAGGACCTGGTCCAAGCTGATCCTACTGAGCACTCACTGCAAGCCCCTATTCTAACACCCATGTGAATCACCTGGTGTCACCCTCGCATCACCACCCTCTGTTATCGATAAGACAGCAGGGTCTGTGACCTGCTGGAGGATGACAGCCTGGAATGGAATCAGGTGTGCCCAGCATGGGCCTCACTTCTTACGCAGGGGCCACATAGGTGTCACAAATGGGCGCATCTGGCTCCTGGTGCCCGGCTCCTCTGGGGCGATCATGCCTGGTTGAGGACGTGGGGTGGTACTGAGGGCAGAGGGGCTGCAGACATCCTCTCGGCTCTGACGGAGGCTGGGTCTGTAGTGGCCTATGGGGTCTGTCTGCTCTAAGGATCATGGGGCCCACTGGAGCCAGCCACTGTGCTAGGTCACGGCTAATCCCTCCACCCACAGGCCCCAGGAGGAGCACAGGGCCTGGACAGCTGGCCGCCTCAACAGCTGCCAACCCTGCATGCCTGGTGCTCAGCTGGGCAGGACAGAAGCAGAAATCCAGGCCAACTGGGGAAACCAGTGCAGTGTGTGCTGGGGTGGGCCAGGGTATCCCCTTCGCCTCCAGCAACAGTGATGGGGCCAGGCAGCCCCAGAACCAGCTGGGCCCAAGGCAACCGGCACTTCCCAGGTGGGCATGGGCAGGGCCTTCACCCTCTGTAACCTAAACACCCAGAAGTCCTGTGAACACCAACTCAACCTTGGCCAAACCAGCTGGACACCCTGACCTATGGAAGGCGTGTGCCCACCCTGTGGAGGGCACCCACACCCAAGGGAGCGACCCTCTGAGGCCAACAGGCCCCAGGCACCAAGTCCCACGGCACACATGGGTCTCCAAATGCTGACAACAGGTGGACACTACTGCCGTGGGTCGGGAGAGCACTGGGGATGGGGGCGGGGCAGGGGGTGTGTGAACTTTCCTGGGGGTGAGGACCCACACTGGGGGGTGAGGCTTGTGCAACCCCTCGGAGCCTGCCAAGAGGAGCCCACCTGGATGCAGACCTTCCCTGGGTCCTGGTTCCACACCAGCTTTCAAACAGTTCCCTTGGGCCAGGTCACAGCGGGCCCCACGGTAACCCGCGTCCTTCACAGTCACTGCGAAGTCCCCATGCATAAACGCAGGTCAGACACTCAGAGGCAGGGTCATTTGCCGAGCACCTCACAGCTGGCAGCGCCGTCCAGCAGTGATGGGTTCCCAAGGCTGCAGTCCCCACGTGGCCTGGGGCTCCATGTGGCTGCTCCCTGCCCAGGGGCCTTCTCTGGCATGGACCGGTCCACCCACACCGTTGGTACTCAGGGGTGCACCAAGACACGAGGACCTGCCAACAGAGGGCCTCTGTGGTGACCATGGGCAGACGGTGGCCAGGAAGCTGCCCTGGCAGTGAGGGAAGCAGGCACAGGGGCATCCTCTGGCTGCCCTCTCCCTGGCTGCGGCCATGCAGATGCCCAGGCTGAACAAGCACGGGAAGGCAGTGCCCACAGGAGGCTCCCCCTGATCTTTGCAGCAGGCCAAGATCTCCTTCCCACGGGCAGGGCTGCCCCTTGCAGCACACCCCCTGCTGACACTGTTTATAGACATTTCCCCTAAATATCTCCCAGGGACAAGGAGCACAATATAAATCTAGAAAAGGTCGCTGCTGCCGGCTTCTGTTTTTAGTCTCCCCTGGTGGGGGATGTTCTGATGGCAGGGCTGCGGGAGACAGGTCTTCCCTACAGGGCCCACCCTGCATGCCAGGGCAACTGCCTAATGGGAAGCCCAAACTGGGTTGTGCCCAGGGCCTGAAGATGACATCCCCTGTGGTTCCTGAGGGCGGGAAGGGCAGCAGAGACCTTGGGGCCCTGCCCACTGCCTGCTTCTCTCACCCCCAAGTGCTTACAGCTCACGGCCACGTATGTCCCACAGGTGCAGTCCCCCTAAGGACTCACTGTCTCCCACAGGGATGGGGTGGAGCCTAGGCACCTGTTCCCTGGCACCTGCAGGAGGGTCAGACACAAGTGCACCGGGAAGGATGGACGGGTGGGCAAGTGGGGCACAGCTAGCCAGCGGGCGTGGTCCTCCTCCTCAGCGCCCTGGTGGGCAGAGATAGCCTTCCCAGCCCAGTGCCTGGCACTCTGGACCAGACAACATGCAGCCAGGGACAGGTCAGGCTGGGTGTGACTTCTCTGGGCTCCCCTAGGGACCACATGCCCCTCCATCCATGAATTGAAGCCCTGAGCCCAGCATGAGGGTGTCTGGAGGCAGTCAGGTTTGGGTGAGGTCGGTGGGACCCTCACCTTGCGATGAGCACCCTCTGGGCACGCTCTGCTCAAGCGACGGCACACACGCTATGTACAGGCCACATGTGACACTGAGAAGCCAGGAGCAGCCTTACAGAACCCAGTCCTGCACCACCCTCATCTGGGACCCGCGGCTCCAGAACTGTGAGAGTCAGTGTCTACTGCTCAAGCCACCAGTGTGTGTGGCATTCTGTCACAGCAGCCCCAGCACCGTCCTAGCCTCAGGGACAGGAGCAGGTGAGAGAGGCTGGAGACGGGCTGCGAAGCTGCCACATTTTGTTTCCTCCACTCAAGTCCAGGGAGCCGGGGTGGGAGCTGCACACCAAGAGGCTGTGCTCGGGAGCTTGGCAGGGTCCCAGCAAGACCCACTGGGGTGACAGGGCAGGGGTGGCAGGTGCAGAGAGGCAGGGACAGGGACAATCAAGACTTCCACTCACCTCATGAGAATTGGTGCCATGAGCCACTCTGGTCTTGCAGACTGCGGGTTGGAGAGAGGAAAGCAGAGAGGATCAGTGAGCCCTGACGTCTGACTGGTGGAAACAGGGCATCTCCCCAGAGGACCCCCTCAAAACTCCTGCAGCCACAAGGGGAACGGGGCAGTGCTGCAGTTGGGGTAACGTGGACAGATGCCACCATCCCAGGCAGGACCCGCGCAGTGGTGGCGTGGAGGCGCCTGGGGCTGTGCCCTCCGCAGGCAAAGCCTGGGCCACCCTCAGCAATTCCAACCCTGCGGGCCTAGAACACCCACCCTGCCTGTGGCCATGCGGCCGAGCACGCGGCTACGTACTGAAGGGGAAGGCCAGGCCGTTCTTCTCCAGGAGCCTCACGGTGTCGTCCCCGCACAGGCTGGTGAGCTCCATGAAGGGCGGCGAGCAGATCCTGTCATCTACGTCACAGAGGGAGGGGAGGTCAGCGCCTCCTCCAGGGCCGTCCTGGACCCTGCCCACCCCCAGCCCTGAGGGTCCCAAGCTCTATGGTCCCCTGTGTGGGGCGTGGGGTGTGTGTGACAAGAGCAGCATATTCTTCAACTACATTTCCCAGCAATATTCTGTAATTATAAAATTCTTACATGCTAACTAGAAAACCTGAAGCGCACAGAAAAGAAAAACACACACGTCGCTTCCACCTTTGCCACCCCTCCATCATAGTCCCCTTCCTCCAAAAGACTGCGAGCCCCCAGGAGGTGGGCCCGCTCCATACCTCTGGCACAGGGCTGGGAAAGACTGCACATGGACAGGGCAGGGTGCCCTGTCCCCCCAAACTTGGAAGCCAAACCCAGAGCAAAGCAGCTAAGAACTGTCCCCAGAGCTGTCCACTCCCTGGCTGGCCAGGTCAGCACACTGGGGCACGAGAGCCAGCCTTGTTGACCTCAGCAGCAATGCAAGAGCTGAACAGGGCAGCTCAGAAGAGCTTCTCGCCTCCCTGGGAATCCCACCCCACCAGGGCAAGTCTGGACTCCAGACAGGAGCTCCTCTGGGGGCCCTGGGAGGGCAGCTGGGAGTCCACGTTTGCCAGGCCCCTGGAGGGGTGGCGAGCCCTGAGCAGTGCTCATTCCATCCTGAAGCTGCTGTGGGTCAAGAACCAGAGGCCCAGGGAGGTTGTTGCCCAAGGTCATAGGACAGTCAACCAAAGAGCCAGGGCAAGGAGCCAGGTCTACCCAGCAGCCCGGAAGAAGAGAGGTCAGGAAAATCAAGCTGGGGAGATGGGGGGTCCTGGTGCTCGCTGCAGGCTGTGACCCACACCGGCCTCATCTGCCCTCCCTCAGCATGAAGGATGGGAGGGCTGGCAGGAGGCTCAGTATCACAGTCACACAGCCACTGCCCCGCTCCGCTGCGGGGGCGTGATGCTGAGGTCCCAGTAAACTGCAGGATCTGCAAGGAGCAGGCACGAGACAGGAGCTTGTCAGGCTCCCACAGTGACCCCAACTGTCACACACCACTGCTGATTGCTGACCTGGGCCCACCGCACTTGTTCCACGTGGCTACACTGCAACTCGTTCATCCTCAAAGAGCCTTTGAGGACGCACCACCATCACTCCCACTTTCCATTTGAGGGAGCAGGCACCATGGAGACGCTCCCGGTGTGGATCTAACAGTGAGCAAGAGGGATGGCCTGGGCTGGGCTGGGGCTCAGTGGTAGAGCGCTCGCCTAGCACATGCGAGGCGCTGGGCTCGATCCTCAGCACCACATAAAAAAAATAAATAAATAGAAACAAAGGCATTATGTACACTACAACTAAAAACAAACAAACAAAAAGAGGTACGGCCTAGGGCACACTGGGTGGTTTGGCTCCAGGTCCAGCCTAGCGACCATGGCTGCGGGCTCAGGGTGTCCCTAACAGCATCTCCTCTGCTCGGTGGCAGTACTGAGACAGCAGCAGCTTCAGCAATGGGAAGCACGAAGGCGACCCCTGCAGTCCAGCCGCCCACTGTGCGGAGTCCCACTTTCCACAGGTTCAGCCGCCTGTGGCCATCTACAGAGCACTGAGCTTTAAACCGCACCTGGTGAGCAGGGTGATGAGCAGGGTGACGAGCAGGGTGAGGGGCTCTCCAGCCTGCACCACCCACGTCACAGCCCGACTCATTCCTGCGTCCAGCACGACACCAGTCACCGCCTCGGTTACCAGATCAGCTGTCCTAGAACACAGGCTTGCGCTCAAGGAACCCTTGCTTTACTTAATACTGGCCCCAAAGTGCAAGAGCAGGGATGCTGGAATTGTCCTATTTTGTTATGAGATGGTCGCCTAATTTACGAACTCTTTTTTCAGCACTGGGGATCGACACGTAACTCACACGTGCAGGGCCAGGCAAGCGCTCTATCACTAAGCCACACCTCCCCCCCATAAATTAAACTTTATCATATGGATGTAGTATAGGGAAAACACAGAAAGTGTAGGGCTTGGCACTAGCTGAAATTCCAGGCTAGAACATATCCCCCATGGATAAGGGGGCCACCACTGTGATAAGGGACGAAAGCATAACACATAAATCTCAATGATGTAGAAAGCATCTCACAAGATCTAATACCTTTTTACAGTACAAACACTCAACAACTAGAAAGAAAGGGATTTAATCTAAAGAGCAGCCTCAGAAGCCCACGTTTTAAGATAACATCAAATCCACCACTGAAAGCCTGGGTATTTTCCCCCTAAGATTAGGAGCAAGGCAGGGATATTTGTTCTGGCCACTCTTAGTCAACACCTTGCTGCAGACTCTAGACAGGGCCACTAGACAAGAAAAATGAAATAAAAAGCATCAAGATAGAAAGAAAGAAAGAAAACTACGTCTGTTTGCAAATATTATGATATGGTACATAGAAAATCCCAAGAAACACACACACACACACACACACACACACCCTCCCAACTCAGCTGGAGCTAATAATAACCAAGTTCACCAAGGCTGCAGGATACAAGAGCAACACAGGAAATACAAATGCATTTCTATACCCAACAATGAACACTCTAAATGTGATGTTAAGAAAATAATTCCATTTATAAAAACTTCACAAAGAATAGAATATTTGTGAATAATTTAATAAGTACAAAACAAACTCTGAAAACTACAAAATATCACTGAAGGAAATTAAAGAACACTTCAATAAATGGAAAGACACACTAGGTCCATGAACAGAGAGTAAACATTATTAAGCTGGGAATGTTTTATCTATAAACTCAACACAATACCCATTGAAATACCAGCTTTTTTTTTTCAGGAATTAACAAGCTGACCCTAAAATTCACATTAAATGCAAGGGACCCAGAATAATCCGAACATCTTAAGAAGCACAAAGCTATGAGACTCACACTTTTTTTTTCTTTCCAAAACTTACCATGGGGCTGGGGTGTAGCTCAATGGGAGAGTGAGAGCCTGGTCTGCACAAGGCCTGGGGTTCAATCCCCAGCCCACAAAAACAAAGAAATAAGTGAAACTTTCTACAAAGCGAGTCACTGAGACAGTACAGTACAGGCGTAAGGCAGACATGCAGATCCATGGAAGAGAATGGAGAATCCGGATGTGAATTCATTCACCTGTGCTCAGTTGCCAAAAGAACTTAAATGAGGAAAAAATTTTCTTTTCAACAAACGGTGCTAGCACAACTTGTTATCCATTAGAAAAAGACTGAAATTGCAATCCTACCTCACATCACATACAAATTAATTAAAAATGGATCATGAACTAACTATAAGAGCTAAAACTACAAAACCCTTTGAAGAAAACATCTGTGTGAGTCTTCATGGCCCTGAATTAGGCAATATCTTCTTAAATATGGCACTAAAAGCACAATCAAAGCCAAAACAGATCAACTGGATACCATCAAAATAAAAAACTTTCATGCTTCAAAAAGTACTATAAAGAAAGTGAAAAGACACCCGGAGACTGGGAGAAATATTCTCAAATCATATATTGGGTACAGGACTAGTATTCAAAACATATAAAGAACAATTAAAACTAAACAATAAAAAGTCAACCCAATTTTAAAATGGGAGAAGGTTTCTGTTATTTTGTTTGTTTACTCATAGGTGGACACAATTCCTTTTATTTTATTTTTATGTGGTGCCAAGGATCGAACCCAGTGCCTCATGCATGCCAGGTGAGGGCTCTACCATTGAGCCGTGATCCCAGCCTCTGGGCAAAGGTTTTGAGTACGACAGTTCTCAAAATAAGACATAAAAATGGACAATAAGTCCATGAAAAGATGCTCAACATCATTCACCATCAGGGATTCCTGTGTTGAGGATGTAGAAGATTCAAATCCTCATGCGTTGCCGGTGGCAATGTAAGCGACGTAGCCACTTCGGGAACAGTCTGGCAGGACCTTGGGCAGTTAAAAAGTTACCATGTGACCTGGCAACTCTGCTCCTAGCAATGTGAATTATATCCATTAAAAAAATTTTATTTTTAAAAAGCCAGCAGTGCCACTTACTGAGTGCTCTCCAAGGGACAGTGAGCTAAATAATACCTTCCAACAAACCTGCAAAGATCTGTCCCCATTTCTGTTGAGTTCACAGTGAAGTCAGCGAAGAGACACCCTCCCCCAGAGATAATGAAGGTATATTCCCCCGAGAGGTGATGCACAAGGACACTCCCCCGAGAGGTGACAGGTTCAGAAGAATTGTAAGGCCAAGATACTCCCAACGAACATGTGGCGCCAGCACTAGTCTCTTATTAGACATACGGTTTGCAAATATTTTCCCATTCTATGAGTTGTCATTTTCCTTCCTTTATAGTTCTCCTTGAAGCACAAAAGTTTCGTATGCTTCAGACACACCCAGCTCTCTGAAATCCTGTGTATAAGATGGCAGCCCCGGTGGTAGCAGGGGCCAAGTGGGTCAGGACAGAGGGGCACAACCACACAGTCAACGTTCTTATTTGTCTATCCTGATTCGTAGCTGGCTGTCCACACCACCAGCTGCATGCCTGACTGACTCTGGGGAGGGGTGGGCTGGAGCTGAGCCTGGCCCAATCCCATGGCCAGATGAGACCCGTGTGCCAAGCTGAGGCCCAGGGAACCAATCTTAGGTGAAGGCAGCCCAGATCCTGCAGAGCTGAGGCAGGGGAGGATCTGTGCCTTACTGGGCTGTAGACCACTTGGAACTGCTGGTACCAACAACATCTGAGCTGCCTGAGCCAGTTTCTGGCCACCTGCAGCCCACCTGACCTGCCTGTGAAATCACTAGGGACTTGGACACCACCCACTCTTCTTATTTGATTTTGACAACCATTCACCGCCACCACCAACGAAAACGCACTGAACGCCTCCTGAACTCTGAGCTGTGACAGTGTGTGATCGTGGACACCCCTCCCTGCACGGAGCTCACTCCAGCCCAAGGGGCCGGGAAATGACCCACACAGAGGAGTGGTACAGCTGGGAGGGGAAGCATGG